CACACAACAATTTCACTTTTAATAATTAACACTTCCTCCAGATGATGGGAACAGCTATGGGCACTAAAATGGCCCCACAGTATGCCAACCTTTTTACCTTTTTTTTTTTTTTACACACCAAAAAAGCAGTGATATACAGCCAAGCCCTCAGATACCACCGCATCTGTACTGAAGAGAACACCCGGGATTGCCACCTCACCAATCTTAAAAAGGCTTTCACCCAGCAAGGACACTCCTCCAGAGAGATAGATCGCACGTTTGAAAGAGCCACCTGGATACCACGTGAAGAACTGCTGCAGTACAGAAGAAAAACACCCACAAATCGCACACCGCTGGTTATGACCTATCGCCCATCCCTTGAACCTGTACGGAAAATCCTCAAAAAATTGCAACCCATATTAGAAAAAGACCCTATTCTTAAAAAGATCTTCCCAGAGCCACCCATCCTAGCCTTCAAACAAGCACCAAACCTTGCTAGCCTCATCACCAGAAGCAAACTTCCTCAAGCCCAGAACACACCAAAAGGATCCAGACCGTGCCATGACAAGAAATGCAAAACCTGCCCCCACATCTCCACCACCCCCACTATTACTACACCCCACAACAGAGCCATCAGCATCCCAGGATCTTACAGCTGCACCTCCAGGAATGTAGTATACCTCATCCAATGCACCAAATGCCCTGATGGAAGATATGTAGGAGAGACCAGACAACAACTGCGCACCAGAATGAATGCACACCGGAAATCCATCAAAGACAGAAACACCCAATTACCAGTGGGGGCACATTTCTCACAGGAGGGCCGCTCTCTCTCCAATCTCTCAGTCCTGATCCTCAAGGGAAATTTACACAACACTTCCCAGAGACGAGCCTATGAGCTCCATTTCATCAACCTGCTGGATACTAGAGATCAGGGACTAAACATAAACATTGGATTTTTGATACATTATAATCTGCCTGGCACCTGACTCCCCAGCCCAGCCCAGCCCCTGGCTTCTTTACTTTTCATTCCATCCAGGAAGAGCACACACCAACTGCTGCAGCTTCCTTAGCCTGACGAAGGGTTTTTGAACCCGAAAGCTTGCTCAATAACTATTCTCCAACTATTTGGGTTGGTCTAATAAAAGATATCAAATTCACCCAAGGAACCTTGTCTGCCTATATCCTTAGACCAACACGGCTACAACCTAAACCCTTGCAGGGAATAGGCATTCTACCCTCTTCCCCTTCTCTCTTACCCCAACCCATCTACCCTCCAACTTGTAAAATCCTTTCCTCTCCTGCCCCCCACCCTGCACGCCAATGCAGAGCACCATTCCCCTTACCTCTTCCAGGCTGCAGACAGTTGCCCTGCACTTGCTCATGTAGCTGGTGAAGGAGGAGGTGGTTGGGGAACTCAGATCTTCCAGGGCCTGAGAGATGAAGTCGCACACAGAAATGAGCTCCGGCATCCTGCCTGTGGAGTGCACACAAGGAATGGAGTCTGGGGCTGACTCGCAGCAACTCAGAGTCCGTCCCCAGGAAGGGGAACTGGAAAGGAGAGACCGCAAGGCTGAGAGGAAGCTTTGTGGCCCACAGAGAGCTGCAGCAGAAGGAGCAGACCCCAACCCAGAGGGACTCACAGCGGCTTGCAAACACAAAAACAGACACTGATCCCAACTCTGGGAGACGGAGCTGAGCTAACCCAAGCCCCAGCTGGGCCCGTGCTCCAAGATGTGGAATTTCTTCCCTGTCACACGTACAGGAACTGCCACCACAGTCACAATCAAACTATCACAAGATGTCAGCTGCTCCCTGGCCTGCCTTCAAATGAGAATAGAAGTAAAGGCAGGCAAGGTTCTTTGAGTAGATGCGATATCCTTCTTTTAGACCAATTGAGTAGTTGGAAAAAAGTTCTTGGCAAGCTTTTGGGTGCACTCATCCTTCTTCAAACATAGGGAGTCTCTGCTGTTCTGAGACACCAAGAAATGAGAAAAGCTAGAAGTGTGGCAGGATGTCAGTGAAAATGTAAATAGGTAGAAATTAGAAAGACAAAAGGTAAAGCAGAGAGGTAAAGCAGAGCAGGAGAAAAGAAAAAAAGGCTGAAGGAAGACACTGCAGTGATAGAATATAAGGTAGAAAAGAGGCCGTCAGTGGCTTTACCTTTTGTCTTTCTAATTTCTGCCTATTTACATTTTCACTGACATCCTGCCACACTTTTAGCTTCTCTCACTTCTTTGAGTCTCAGACCAGCAGAGACTCTCTATGCCTGAAGATGAGTGACTGCACATGAAAGCTTGCCAAGAACTTTCTTCTAACTACTCAGCTGGTCTAATAAAAGATATCACATCTACTCAAAGAACCTTGCCTGCCTATGTCCTTAGACCAACACAGGTACAACAAAAACCCAATAGCACTAAATGCATGTGAATTCCATGTGTACCCCCAACACTCAAGCTCCAGCAGAAAAAACATTCTGAATTTGCAAATGATCTGCTAAGTGGTTTGAGTTAATAGAACATCTGAGCCCGGTAAGGCATACAGAGCTGCCATCTTCCATAGCCCACTTTGTGGGTTTCCAAAATACTTGCATTCGAAGTGGTTATCACTAATGGAGTCTTCAGGTTACTAGCCAGAACTCCACACTGACCCTGGGTCCCCCTCACCTATCATTTCTCATATTCTTGAAACCTCTACTCTGCATTTTTCACAGAATCCAAACCCCATTCACTTCCCCTCCTCTCCTTCTCACTTTATTTTTTCTTCCTTTTCCTTTCCCTTTCCCTCCAGACCTCTCAAGCTATCAGAGGCTCCATTACATGCATGCTCCAGCCCCTCTAACAATCTATGACTATTGCAATTTGAGGCAACCCTGTGCTTCCCAGAGGGCAGGGGTGGGCAATTATTTCAGCTGGAGGGTCACTCAATGAGTTTTGGTGAGCTATTGAGGACCTCACATAAAATCTTTCAGAAGATATCATTTTAACAAATAATAGATAAAAAATAAATCATGTAATAAAAACATCAAACATCTATTATAATACATATGAATTGAATTTCAAAAAATAATTTTTGTCTTGATTTAGGTATTTGTGAGCAGTATATATAGAGGTCACTGTATAATAGCTAAAAATAAAGTCTTAGTCTTGTAAATATTGTGGGGGAAGGGCTGGGGGTGTATGTGGGGAGGAGCTGTCCATATGCTAGGTAGGCCCCAGGAGCTGGCCAGGGGTGCGCAGGAGTGGGGAGCAGGGGGCGCATGTAGCAGAGCTCACCAGGGAAGTACAGTGCAGGTACAGGTGCAGATTGCGCCCCATCCACCCTGTGGCTGCCCCCATGGTGCTCCGCATGAAGCCAAACCCCACCACCTCCTGCCCGAGGCAGCCCACCCCACGCTCCTGCCCATACCCACTGACAGCACTGCCCCAGCCCTGGTCAGCATGCACAGCTGCCCGTTGGGGCTGCTGTTGCTGCTACTTCATCCACCCAGGTACTGCTTGGCTCACCCTGCTTCTACTGTCTCCTCTTCCTCTTCCTCCTGCCCCTCCTGCACTACTCTGGGCAGCAGGCAGTGTGGGGAAGCAGTGTGTCATGCACCACATGCTCAACCAGGCAGGGGGGAGCTGTGGCCAAGAAGCTCCTGCCCCAGTTAAATCTAGCTATATTCTTATTCAAGTAGCCAGAACAATCACTTAAAATAAGTGATCAATGAAGAACCAAAAGGCACAGTCCAAAATGCCCATGAAGGGAATCACAGAACACAGCAGCTTTTTTACTTACACATTTTAGCATAAAATGTTGGTCTCATTTCAACAGACATACTTTCTACAAAGGACAAAGATACTCTTGACACAAGTTACTTTCTTACGTAAGTATTAAAGCCTGATGGATTAAAAAAAGGATGCAGTTGATATGAATGTCAATGACACCCAAATGTCTGCAGAAAAAGGAACAATTAAGTGTAGGTGAAACATTTGCCCCCACATGTTAACTTGGGAGGCTAAAGCCATATGAGCACAGTAACTTGGCAAATACATCTGTAACTGGAAGGTGGTACTTTGTCACTTAATTCTAATCATATTTTGTTCCTTAACCAAAAGCTCTTGATATTCTCTTTGTAGGACAAGTTAATTCATTTGAAAATTAATTCATTTGAAAAGAAAAGGCGATACTAATTGTCAATGTAAATATGAGAAATGGAAAAGCCAGGTGGCATAGACCAGTCAAACAATCAAAATACACTGTAAAAAAGCGAACAATAAATAATACCCTACCTGAGAAATAGTAGTTGTAACAGGTTTTTTTAAACTGTTGCTTATTTAATGTCAGCTGTATGTTACATGAAACAAATCTATTTTTTTTATGAAACTTATCAAAGTCTATTTCTACAAAAAATAAGGATATAAATTGTATTTCTTCCCAAGGGAAAAAAAATAAAGATATTAATATTACCACTTACAACCCTAGCTCAGCAAACATGTAGGTGCCTATACCTTATCTATTTTGAAAGCAATATTTTAATAATAAACATTTAAGCATTTGCTTATATCCCAGTTGTTCAGTTGAACAAAACATAACATTAATGTTATTATCTTTCATAATTATGGTTTTGTTTACTCTGAATAAAGCTTGACAGTTAGGCATGTGCCCCAAGTAAAATAGAAGAAAATACTGTATCATGTTCTCAACCTAAAAATACATCTTGACACTACTTTTAGCAAGAGAATTCTTTGCATATATAATTCATGTTCTTTTTTTTTATTCTCTTGCATGCTCTGCACAATGCTGAGTATACATACTGTAGCTAAACTAACAATCAATAAATACAGAGTGATGTGGTCTAACGCTGAGCACTACATGCTGATTTAGGAAGTAATTAGCATGCTAAGGAATGCCAAATGCAAGAACTAGGAGCTGATGAGAAATCTGTGTGCAGCATTCTGTCTGAAAAGCTCAAATGCTTGGAATTGCATTTGCAAGTACAACTTCTGAGACAATCTCAGTAAGCGCCACAAGGTGGATATGATACTGAGACAGCAGGCACAGATGAGTGTATGTAATTGTCACCAGGCAGACAAGGTTCTTTGGGTGAATCTGATATCTTTTATTAGACCAACTTAAATAGTTGGAAAACAATTTTTAAGCAAGCTTTTGGGTTCAAAAACCCTTCATCAGGCTAAGGAAGTTTCAGCAATTGGTGTGTGCTCTTCCTGGATGGAATGAAAAGTAAAGAAGCCAGAGGCTGGGCTGGTATGCATACAAGACAGGTAGACAGTAAAGATGTAGATTGAGGAGTCAATGGGTGAGAGACAGGCTGGGTGGGGGGGAGAGAAGGGGGATGGGATGAATAGTGGAGAACTACCTGAGGAGTCAGATGTCAGGCAGGTTATAATGTGTCATAAATCCAATGTCTATATTTAGTCCATGATTTTTAGTATCCAGGAGGTTGATGAAGTGGAGTTCATAGGCTCATCTCTGGGAAGTGTTTTGTAAGTTTCCTTTGAGGATCAGGACTGAGAGACTGGAGAGAGAGTGGTTTTCTTGTGAGAAATGTGCCCCACTGGTAATTGGGTATTCCCGTCTTTGATAGATTTCTTGTCACCAGCTTTAATACTGTCTGCTTAAGGGGCAGCTAGCAGAACTGTATACTTTTTTAGGGTTTCCAAAAGGAGGTGGTTGAATTTCTAAGCTGTGAGCAGAGCCCTAGCCCCAGTCTGTTTCTGTCTCCCCACCCTGCCCAAACTGTCCCTGCAGTTACAGCACACCCTGATCCACAATGTCCTGGCCCTGTTCATAGCTTACACCAGCTCGCATGCTGGAAGTGGTGCCGGCATCAGCTGTGGATGCTGCCAGCAAGTTCCCAGTGGGGTTCAGGGTGATTATGCTGATGCAGCAGCATCAACTTTTTTAAATATATAGGGGGTAAAAGGAAGGTACCAAGTAATGTGGGGCTTCTGCAGGATGTGCTTGGTAATCTGGTGGTAGCAGATCTCTTTAACAGATTCTTTGTCTCCATTTTTCTGAGCAGGGACAGGGACATCCCCCCACACTGGGATCCCAGATGAACCTAGGGGAGGCGCAGCCAGGCCCAGGGTCAGTGAAGATCTAGTCAGGGAACTTTTGGAAGGACTAGATGTATTTAAATCAGCTGGTCCTGACGACCTTCACCCCAGAGTGCTGAGGGAATTAGCAGAGGTCATTGCGGGACCCCGGCATGGGTTTACGAGCACTTGTGGTGCTCTGGCGAGGTGCCAGAGGACTGGAAAAGGGCCAATGTGGTCCCCATTTTCAAAAAAGGGAGGAAGGAGGACCCAGGAAACTATAGGTCCGATAGTCTTACCTCGGTCCTGGGGAAGCTCTTTGAGAAAATTATCCAGGAGCACATGTGTGAGGGACCACACATGTGCTCCTGGATAATTGGAGCTGGATAAATGGATAAATTTATCCAAACTGGATAAATGTTGGTCCTGTC